GCTGATGCCTCGACTTCAGTGATCTGCCCTCCATAACTGTCAAAGAATAAAGGTGTGTCATTCTAAGCCCCTAGTTAGTGGGCGTTGGTTACAGCAGCCACAGGAAACTCAGGCACAGTCCAGTCCCCACAGTGCCTTCTCCACATCCACAATGTCTTCTCAGCGCTTTCAGCTTCATCCGGAACCTTCTTGAGTCAGGCATGGCACATGGCCCAAAATGGATCATAAACTCCCCTCTGGAAAATTTGGCATAATCTACTCAGGAACAAACAAATGTCATAGGAGAAACACTGTAAGGGAGAATTAGCTGTATCTTGTATAATAAAGACCCTGAGAAAAGGAGTTGGGCTCACTGCTGAGGCTGGGTGCCAACGAGTCCTGCCAATGAGCCCAGGAGGTAAAGCCCTATCATCTCCACTTTATAAATGAGGAACAGAGACGTTGAGTGATGTGTTCTAGGCCACACAGCTAGAACGGGGTAGCACTGGGATCCGACCTCAGGCCCTGCTCTTTCTATTAAGGGTTTCCAAATGGGGGTGGGGGAGAAGCCATGATTGATGACACAATGGCTGGCCACCTACCAGCCCCAAAAGCCCACACAGGGCCCCCTCATGCTCACTAAGCTCCAGTTTCCTCATCTGCCCAGTGGACGCGACAGGTCATTCTCGGGAACCAACACAAGGGTCGAGTTAGGGGGATGTCTGCACAGTGTTAGAGACACAGGCATGAAGGACTGTCACTGCCAGCATTCAGACGATTCCAGTGAGGAAGCTAATTGAAACACGTCCGTGGGGACTGGGTTCAGACAACCTCGGATCACCTAAACCAAACCACACCCACTGCCATTGAGTCAACTCCGACTCACGGTGCCCCTAGAGGACAGAGTAGAGCTGCCTCAGAGGGTTTCCAAGGCTGCAATCTTCACGGAAAAAAATCACCAGATCTGTCTCCCAAGGAGTCACTGGGTGGGTCCAACTACCAACCTTTCGTCCGGGAGCCAACAGCTTGCTACTCTAGACCAGAGCTCTTCAGGAGTCTGGACAACCTGCCCACCTCCCAGAGCCCCTTGACTGCCTCTTTAAAACCAGGATAACCCTAGGACAAAGGTGACCTGAGGCCCAGCAGAAGTGGTCAACAGCTGTCTCCAACTTGAGAGGCCTCTGGAATTGCTTATGGGGCACACTGATGCCTTTCAAAGAAGCTTTCCAAAGAAACGTCCACTTCATAGCACTGGAGAGCCAGAAACCCCACCACTAGATGCCATTCTCAAATCATCACTGCCCCTCCTCCACTGCTGGTGGGGCTGGAAGACGGTGCAGTTGCTGTGGAAAGCCACCACAGGCCCAGCCACTCCAGTCCCAGGAAGACACTCAAAGAACTGGCAGCAGGGATGTAAACAGACACCAGGTCCAGCACTGTTCACTGCAGCACTGTCCACAACAGGTGGGAACAAGCCAGGTGGCCCTCAGCAGGTGGGTGGGTGCACACAACGTGGTCCGTCCACACAATGGAATCTACTCGGCCACAGACAGACATGAAGTTCTGACACACGCTACAACACGGATGCACTTTGAGCACGTGTTGCTGAATGAAAGAAGTCAGTCACAAAGGGACACATATTGTATGATCCCACTGACATGGAACAGGCAAAGCTGTAGTTCACTAGTGGCTGGCGAGGGGTGTGTAGGAAGGGGGAGGCGGGGAGGGACTGCTGGGGGCACTGAGTGTCTGTGGAGGCTGATGGGAAGTCTAGGAATAGTGGGGATGACTGCATAACCACCGTCCCCTGCAAATTTTCTTGTCTAGATCTCACCTGCCACCCTGACCTTCAAAGCGGAAAGAGACAGGATGGCCACTAGATGACCTGTGCTCCACTTTAAACACACTGCCTCAGGACCGTCCAAGAATCACACTGAGTAACACATGCAAAGGTTCAACAGCCAACATGGTCTGTGGTCAGAATTTATAAAAACACGTTGTGGCACAGTTACAGGACATTGGCTGTCCCCAGGCTGGAACGTGACCTCAGGGATGCACTAAGGAACGGCACAACCTGTACAGAGCCAGCAGGCCCGGCCGTGCAGGCCCGGTGGGTCCAGAGTGGGCAGCAGGTGCACTCTTGCGTCCAAGGCATGTTAGCCACTGAGAAGAACTGGAGGGCAGGGAAGAGGGTGGGAGCGGTACCCACCGTCTGCTGCAGGTCCTGGATGATGATACGCAGCACCAGAGTGTGGCCCTGGTTCTCCTCCGTCCTGGTGCTGCCCGGCTTTGCCGCCGTGGCCCGGATGGTGTCATAGATGGTCTCCTCTTTGGAGCTGTCTGTCTCCGAGCCTGCGGAGTAGTCAGAGAAGCTCTGGGCCACCTCGTCCTCGCTGGATGTGGGACTGTGTGACATGGCTGCTGGACCTCAGGGCTGTGATAGCTGGAGAGAGAAGGAGGAAAGACAATGAGAAAACGGGGACTTCCAAGGAGAAGATCCCAGCAGCACGGTGAGGTCAGGCCTCTGAATGCCTGTGGGCTCGGATCCAGGATGTGGCCATGGAACCTCCTGAGTACATACAACATGGAGTCCTCCAAAGAAGGGTAATGGGGTTCAGTGGTAGGACCCTTACCTTCTATGCGGGAGACCCAGGTTCAATTCCCGCCCACTGTACCCACACGCAGCCGCCCCCCATCTGTCTGTGGAGCCTTGAGGGTTTCTAGGGTGGTAAGCAGGTTTCAGTGGCCCTTCCAGACCAAGGTGTACCAGGACGAAAGGCCTGGGAATCTGCCAGCAGGGAAAACCTTTGGAATCACAACTATCAGCACAGACCCAGACAGTGTTCTGTTCTGTTGGGCATGGAGTCACCATGAGTCAGGGGCCAACTCAATGGCAGCACCCAGGGCCCAAGTGGAAAAGGCCCTTATGACCTGTGACCTCCCAGCCTGATCCTGCAAGAGCCCTACCTCGCTGTGGTGATGAGCACAGCTTACAAAGATCAGCCAGAGGATTGCTGGGACAGTGTGAACCTTTCCGAGGCCAGGAAAAAGGTGACCTCGTGTTTTCCTTTGAGGCCAAGCAGCAGGAGAGAAGGGAACACATGCTCCAGGTCGGGATGGCACCAAGTTTAGGCTAGAATCACCCTCTGCATCAAACACACAACAGTGGCAGGACATGTCAAAACCGGACAGAAAAGCCAGCACTAGACTCAGGAATGACATCACCATCTCCAGGCCAGGAGGAGAACAGATCCCAAAGTCACGAGCAGGCCAAAGGTGGGACCCTCGGGGTCCCCAAGATGTGGTGGCAGCTGGGAGTTCAGCTGCCACACGATCAAGTGGAATCAAGGTCACAATGCTGACAGCCACCTCAAACCATGGATGGTAGCAAGACTCCAAAAAGACACCAAGCCACTGCTTGGTGACCACATTTGTAATACCCCCCCATCTCTATGGGGAAGGGGTCCAGAAAAGTTCCTGGCTTGACCCGGGGGTGCCAGGGCTCTAGGGGAAGATGTGCTGGGACAAGCCAGCAACTCCTCACCTGCATAAACCTTACAAAGAAAGCCAAGCCCACAAGCACAAGGAACACTTGCTCCCTGCAAACCTGGGGCTGGCTGGGAAACAGGGACGTATGGGGACCCCAGTCGTTCAGGGACCAGTGAGGCCATTGAGGGCTCATCTTCCCAACGATCCCAGAGCCGTATGCATGAGCAGGCCAGAGCTGCCCACAGACGGTCTCAGACACAGGACTCTGAGCAAAAGGCAGGCAACTTGCAGAGGGATACAAACGAGAGCACCACTGCTCCACGAAGCCTGGGAAGATCCCGCGCCACTCCATCCATGGTCCATGGACACAGTGTCTGCAGTCATGACAGAGACACAGTCAGTGGGAAGACAGACGGCAAACCAGCAGAACAGCTACTGCTTGGGAGGGACAGCGAGCTCGACAAGGCCTTCTTCACTGCAAGCCCACCTGTAATGTTCTGTTTTCTTAAAGCAGATGAAGCAGGCACGACAGACTGTCACACTCTAGTGGAGTCAGGTGGTGGGTCCGCAGGTATTCACCATAGTCTTCTCTGCTTTCCTGTCTGTGTTGAAAACACTGCACAGCTGGGAGGGAGGGAAGGAGGGAGGGAGGGACGGAGGGAGGGAAGAGATGCTGGGAGGGGGAAGGAGGAAGAGGAGGGGAGGGAGTCACCAAGGACACCTAATGCGACTTCCTGACACATGGTGCCTCCTGCTACTTATACACAAAATCAACACTGCTTTAGAATTCTACTTAGACTCTTTGTGCTCTGCACCAGTTACAGGAGTGCCCGTGGCACAGTGCTTGAGTGCTCAGTTGCCAACCCAAAGGCCGGTGATTTGAACCCACCAGAAGCTCCAAAGGAGAAGGCGGTGGCAGTCTGCTTCTGTAAAGATCACAGCCTTGGAAACCTATGGGGCAGTTCGACTCTGTCCTGTAGGGTTGCCGTAAGCTGGAATCAAGCTGACATCAACAGGGATGCGCCAATTACACATGAGGTAGTCCACTAGGGGTGCAGCGTGGATTCAGTCACCAACCCAGAGTCCCTATTGGTGACACGTGTGCATTAATTCACAGTGCACAAGGTACGTGGGCCCAATGGTCCCCCTTCGTCCTTATAAACCTCTTGTCAAGTGGTACGGGATCTGCTCACGTTCACACAGCCAGTATCAAAGGCAAGCCAGACTCCAGGTTTTCTTACTCAGGTGTTCCTGGCCGCCATCTTAGGTATAACATCCTAGGTTTTCTTGGGGTCTTACAGGCCGCAAGCAGACAGAAGGTGATGAGGGTGATGGAACAGTGAAAGCACTCAGCCGCTTACCAAAAGGTCAGCAGTTCAAACCCAACAGCTGCTCCATGGCAGAAAGATGTGGCAGTCTGCTTGCACAAAGACTATGTCTTTGGAAACCCTGGGGGGACGTTCTCTGTGCTCTGGGGATGCTATGAGTTGGAATCAACTTGATAGCATGGAGATGTACCAACTGCACACTTGGTGGCCCAGTGGGGTGCAGTGTGGATTTAGTCACCAACACACACTCCCTGTTAGTAATACATGTTCATTAATTCACACTTTCCAAAGCACTTGGACCCAGAGGTGCCTCAGAAGGAAGGTCTGGTGATCTACCTGAAAATCAGCCCCTGAAACCTCTGTGGGGCACCGTTCTCCAGCACTCCCGGGTCTCTGTGAGTCAGAGTCGGTGGCACCTGGTCTCCGTTTGCTGTAGACACCCCACAACGCACAGAGGCAGAAAGAGGCACCTGCATACCTGTTCTTTCGAGAGCAAGCTTTTCAGAAATCCTGCAAACTCGGGAGTTTTCACTTGAACACCTGGAGGTCAGCCTTCTCCTGAGAACTCACAGGACCCCACCCCTGGCCCTGGGCAGCCGGTGCCCCTCCAGATCAGACAGCAGTTCACTGGTTCATCTCAGCTCCACTTTCCTGTCCCCTCCACACAAGAGGGGACCATCCAGGTGCTTGGAGGCTGGTCCCGGACCCAGCTCACACCCCCCATCAACCCCAGATCTCTGTCCTTGGCAGGTGCTTGGGTGTGTGGCCCCTGCTCTAGTGACTGAGCAGTGTCACCCTGGGGCGTAGAGTGCCCACACGGTCCCAGGAAGGACACAGCTTTTGAGCACTCTGTGATCAGTGAAGGGAACGCCCCTGCCCACTCACGGGTTCCAGGGTTCCTTCACCACAGTGAACACCCTGGGGGTGTCTCATCATCACTGTGAGTTAAACCCTGCAGTCACCTCCAGGGTGAGGCCACAGAATATGCTTCCATCCTCCGTGCCAGACTGACACAGGGGCTTAGCAGCACACAACCAGTGCACACTAGTGTGCACACTAAGCTAAGTATTGTCACATCGATTCCAGCTCATGGCTGACCATGTGTGCTGGATAGAGCTGTGCTCCACAGGTTTGTTTACAGTAACTTGGGTTGTTTTTTGGTTGTTGTGGTTGGAAATACACAAAGCAGAACGTACACCAATCAAGTTGCTACAGGTTCAATTCAGTGGCACTGACAACATGCTTTAAGATGTGCAACCCTTCCCTTCTTGGCTCCTTTCCCGGTGTTTCCCCTAAAGTTCGCGTCTAACCTCTCGAGTTGTTGTCAGTTTGATTCAGCACACGCAGGTCTCTGAAAGGGTCCACCGGGTTGTCAAGGCTGTGGGTTTGGGAACTAGATTACCAGGACTTTCTTGCTAGGTGCCTTCCTTTGGGTGGATTCAAACCATCAACCCTTCAGTCAGGAGCTGAGTGCTTAACACATGGAGTTGAACAACAGCAGAGCTGCAGAGGAACCAGAAACGCAAACCCAAGGGAACCACAAAGCCGTGACTGAGCCCCTGGACCCCATCACAGCCAAGGTCTGGGCCACCATGGGAGGGGGTCACAGGTGCAGGGATTCTGACACACACACCCCAGCCCACACAGTGTTTTAAGGTTTTGTTACAAGCCTGGAGATTTCACATAAAAACCCAGGTTTCTGGATTATCTTCACAATCTAAAGTGGGGCAAGCAACTTGCTCTCAATGACTAACCCAAAGGTTGGCAGTCAGAACCCACCAAGCAGTACCATGAAAGGCCTGGAAATCTGCTTCCTGAGAGCTCCCGGCCAAGAGAACCCCCACAGAGAAGTCGACTCTGTGAGAAACAGGTCGCCAGAAGCCAGCATTGATCTGACAGCAACGGGTTTTGGTTTCCACAGGGCTGGCTCATGGCCCCAAACTGAACCCACCCTCTCTGGGCCTGACATGCCCCCTCGGGTCTTCCCAGACCCCCGAGACTGCAACGTCTGCCCGGCTTTCCTCCTTTGCATTATCCTCCACCCCAGACCATCAGTTTGAGACACCTCTTTGCTGTCTCTTGTCCGCCCTCTCTCTCAGGTCCCCCTGGAGGACCAGCTAAGGGCTTCAAGCTGTAGTTCTCATACCCAATAGGTCATTCAAATCACCTAGATTTGTTTAAAAGAAAAATTCCCAAGTTTGCAGCAACATCCTTCTGAATTAAAATGTCAGGGCAAACGCGTATTCCTGAGTTTGCTGCCCAAATGCCCTGTAGTTCCAGCTTCCCCTAGCTCAGCATTGCCATTGACTGCTGCGGGTCGGCCTCAGCCGAAGGTGAGCCCTGCACCCTAGACCAACATATTGCCCGGTGCTGCCCCAGCCCGTGACGGGCAGTGGGCCACCTTGGAACGATGCACTGCCCAGTGCTGCCCCCAGCCCACGATGCGCAGTGGTGCCATAGGGTTGGCCTCAGCCGAAGGTGAGCCCTGCACCCTAGAACAACATATTGCCCGGTGCTGTCCCACCCCATGACGGGCAGTGGGCCACCTTGGAACGACACACTGCCTGGTGCTGCCCCAGCCCACAATGGGCAGTGGTGC